TTTATATTAGTTGCATTGATGTGAGTTTGTGACCCTGGGTTTCACACCCTTTGTGATCGTCAGACAAACAATCACAAAGGGTATAGAAAGAAACCCAGGGTCATAAACTCATAACAACACAACTAAATATGTGATCTCTATCACTGATATTGAATGCTTTCCAATAAGTACCATGCATATAGAATATATATATATATATATATATATATATATATATATATATATATATATATATATAAATTGTTAACCCTATCACCCCTTATTTAAATAATTGTTCTAGCCGTTTCCATAGTAATTAATTCTATGAATGAATATGCTTATAAAGATGTGTAAAATTTCAAGATTATTAGTTATTCCCAAAATTTTGCTTGAAGATGAAACAAAGCTTGATAATTTAATTCAATTTAATTCTAATAATTATATTGTAGTTTTCAGCTCTTGTTTTTGAAATGAGAACTCTTATGTAGCAAAGGAATCATATTTTAAAAAAAAATAATTATATTTATTTATATATATATATATATATATATATATATATATATATATATATATATTATATATGTATGTATGTATGTATATATATATACATACATACATACATACATATATATATATATATATATATATATATATATATATATATATATATATATATATGAAGAAATATAGTCTTAAGATGTGCTATATTTATGGGATAAAGTGCTCAATAACAGAGATAGAGCGTGTGTAAATATAAAATTGAACATAGAAGTCAACACTTCAACACTGCAACAGGCATTGGCTAGCCACCCTAGTAGTATCATCGAATACAAGTGGCCAGCTATTATTATTACACACATATACACACAATGGTGGACTGGCTCAAAAATATTTACTGAGAAAACTTGTAAAAGAGCCCAGTCAAAAAGAACCCAGTTAATCTCAAAACAAGGAGCGAAGGATATCTATTTCTCTACCGAGACAAATTATAGCATCAAAGAAGCCTTATTTAAATCTTCTCAGCATCCATGTAATATTTTTCTGTTTTTTTAGTTTTTACTTTTACTTATTTTGGTTATTATCATGGGCCATCACTAGGGCCCAGCATGAAAGTATATTTCTAAATAAGTTATTCCAAAAATTGCTTGAAAGTGAAACAGTACTAGGGATTTTAATTTAATTCTATAATTAAATTTAAAGTTTTATTTTCTGTTTTTGAAACATGGTAATTTCTGTGTAGTGATGGGAACATATTTTTAAATTAATGTATTTATTATATATATATATATATATATATATATATATATATATATATATATATATACTCGACTCTCCTGTTGAAATTCGAGATATGTGGGTCAAGCAGATCAGTTCCTAGGAAACCGACAACCCGACAACAGCACATGAGATTTGATTATAGTGGTGAAGGTTTCGTGCAGGACCATTCACACTTTTTGAAGGGCCGAATACAGAGACCTGGTGCACTAAGTGCCACAAGGTCCCCAAACAACCCTCCGCAGGTCTTGAATTCAGAGTTGTCCTTCTCCTAGACCAGTTGCCATCCAAGGCTATAGAACCCAGTCTATCCTGCTATTTACCCATAGCTGGAGGGAGAAGAAGAGGATTCACACCTTTCTCAAAGGTATTAGCACCTAAGTGAATGTAACTGGATTCAACTAGAACTTGAACTCGGCTCTCCGATTCCTCAATCCAAGCCATTATCCATTACTCCACTGTGCCTCCACACACACACACACACACACACACACACACACACACACACACACACACACACACACACACACACATACATATATATATATATATATATATAAAGAAAGAAAATGAGATAGCTATGAACAGACTTTGATATACATTGATAGAAACAGACTGTGATAGATTAACAGAAAAAGAGGGAATTAGATAGATAAATATAGATATGTGCACTACAAAATCTCTTTTAAAGACACATGTTAAAATTGGTTAATCTTCATGCCACAAATAAAAATAAACAAATAAAAAACAAAACTTGTATATAAAAAAAATATAGTAAAATCATAAAATGAAAAATAAATTTGAGTCTTTTATGTTATAAAAAATAGTCAGTCAAGTTTTTCTTTGTCCTTTTTCATGTCTGCAACTCTCAACTTACTTTTTTCTTTCTGACATCCTTTTTAGTGTTGGTTCTATCATATCTGACAGGAAAACCTATCTCCCTTTCAGAATACAGTGTATGTAAGTACTAAGTACTTAACTTGATTACTGCCTTCCGACATTGGATTAATAAGAGATAAAGCACGTGTTATTTACTGAATATTATTGGACAAAATATTTGATTTTTGTTTTTTCTTTTCTTTCTTTCTTTTTTTTTTTTGATTCTCACTTTATATGTGCCACCATGAGCACATTCCAGAGACAGTAGTGTTTTTCTTTCTCCTCCACTCCTCATTCTTTTCACAATTCTTTGTGAAGCAGTTTTATACTGTCATGAAGAATTTATATATAAAAAAAGGAGAATCAACAAAGGTGGTACTACATTCATAGAAGAGAGATGGGACACTTTGGCATGGTATGACTGAGTAGTAAGTTCGATCCTCACTGGGTGCTCCACGCTTTTGGCCTTGTGCCACATCTAAGCTACACTTAGAAAATCATTTTGGGCACTTTGAAGTGGTGTCAGGGATAGCAAGCTTGTCTCGCTAGAGCAATTACAACTGTGTAGTTAGTCCATATCCTCACCGTGACTTGTGCCACATCTAGACTATACTTAGAAAGTCACCATAGCAAAGAGTTCAATGGAATTGAGTTATGCAAGAAAATAAAAACCTATATGTAGCAGTTTGGATCATAAACAGGATAAGACAAGTGATTGGAATAGCACAATCAGTTTCCAAAAAGACTGTAGAATAAGCTGTCAGAAACATATAGTCAAAAGCAAACGTTCAGTTCCATTTTCATTCAAAGTCTTTCGTGATATGTATGCCACCTCAGAACTGGTTAATGGTTAGCAAGGTTAGTCTGGTTGACAACAGAGTAGCAGGGTTCAATCCTCACTGAATGCCCCATACAAATTTCAATATAAAATTACCCTAACAAGGATTGATATGTCATAAAATCAACCAACAGAGCTTAATAGTCATCTTGATGTGGTGTCACAGTTAGTGAGGCTGGTCTGGTCAGTCATTACTACTGAGTAGTGAGTTCAATCCTCACTAGGTGCCCCATGAGAAATTCAACATAAAATAACCCAAGAATTGTTGCTATGTCATAAAATCAACTAATGTAGCCTCAGCATGGAATCATGGTTAGCAAATATGCTTCTTTTTTTTTTTTAATCATTTCACCCCAAGCATAGCAGCAATGCTACTAGTATGCAGGGGTGGGGGGTTACAGGGAGTAAAAGTGAAAGAGAAGATTGAGGAAAGGATAAAAGATGAATGGAATTTAAGAAGAGAGAAGATGACAACTGATGTTCATTTTTAAAGATTGTAGTTATCAGAGAAGCAAGTAAATGCAAGAGAGTTCCACAGGCAGGAAGTGCAAGAAAGGAAACGTTGAAGTAGAAGTTGTGGTTGCATTTAGCTATTTCAACAGTAAAAGGGTGAGACCTAAATGCCAATCTAGTCATATGCTTAAATTAATTTAGTTGGGGCACCAGGGAAAAAAGTTTATCAGAACAGTTGCCATGAAAATATTTGTCGAAAAGACAGAGGGAAGCCATGTTATGTCAGTGAGAAAGTGACCAAAGCTGAAATAACCAGGTCAGGATTGATAACATTACAAATTGTTCTTTGGATTTTGTCAAGAATCTCACGATGTACAGCAGGAACACCAAACCAAATATGGCAACAGTATTCAATGCATAGACAAATGGTAAATTTTCAAATGTGCAAGATGGATTCTGGTGTGACATGGTGACCTAACTTTCCTTGCAGTAGATGCAACTATTAATTCAATGTAGTTGCTCCACTTCCAGTCAGTGGACGACATGAGGCCAAGAAAGTACAATGTGCTGTACTCCTTGAGTCTAGTATGAGCCATGCTGATAGCAGACAGAAAATGTTCCCTGTGGGGGTTAACTGAAAGCAGTTTTGTTTTAGAGGCATTAAAATTTATAAGCCATTTCTTGCCCCATTTAACCACTGATTGGGAGTCTGTTTCAAGAACGGCTACCAGGTTTATTTTGTTGGATCTGTCAGATGTGTTACATAGATAGGAGTAAATGGTAGTGTCATCTGCATAAATCCCTAGTTGGGAACTGATGATATTGGAGAGATCATTGATGAAGATCAGAAACAGCATAAGACCCAGGATTGAGCCTTGTGGGACATTCACATTTTTGTGAAAGTATCTGGAAGTGAGGCCATTCAAAACAACCTTCATTTCACAATTTGATAGGAATGATTGGATTAAATCAAATATTTATCCTGTGACACCATAGCTCTGAAGTTTGCAAAGAAGGCCAGCATACCAAAGATATCTAATGCCACAGCTCAGTCTTAACCATTCTTATCTAGAACTTGATATACAAATTCTGTGATGGCTGTTAACACATCAGTGATAGACCTGGTGAAACAGAAGTCATATTGTTTGTCCGAGAGGAGGTCGTGAAAAGTAAGATGCATAACCACTTCATCATTGATTAGTGCCTCAAGTATTTTGCCAATAATCAGTAAAAGAATAATAGGGTGATAATTTGTGGGGTCAGAGGGTTCTACAGAATTCTTAAGAACAGGAACTACAGAGGAGGACTTCCAACAAGCCAGAAAGCAGTAAGGCAATTGTTGTAGAGTTTGAAGAGGACTGGAACCAGCTTAGGAGTAACGTTCTTTAGGACAACGACTATAGTAATGGGTTCAGTCCTCACTGAGTGCCCCATATAAAATTCAACATTAAATAACCCAACAACAATCGGCTGATCAGAGCATTTAAACAAGTTAAACACCAGAAATTTTAAAATTTAGTGTCCTTACATTTTCAGCATTTCTACTCAGTGCATAATTATAACCAAAGTTCAGAGCTTATGGCCATATCACATTGAAACACTGGTTCCAGTATGATCACCGAAGTTAAGCAACATCAAGCCTGGTTAGTACTTAGATGGGTGACTGTTTGAGAATACCAAGTGTTGCAAGTGTTGGATGTGCAGGTGGTGTAATGGATAATAGCTGCCAAGTTCTGATTCCCACTGGGTTCATTATATTCACTTACATATGGAAAATATATGAATCAACCTCGTCTCCCCCAAGCTATGGGTTAATTAGTAAGACTTGTATCACTAAAGCATTATTATCTCAAAAAAAAAATTCTTCCAATCTAAAAATATTTTTTAGCTTTAAATAACCTTCAAAGGGTTCATAAGCCATAGAAAATGAATCAATCAATCAATCAATAACCAATGTTTACATTTATATATTTTTCCACCCACTACATATATATAATTCAATCATTAAGAACATTACTTTAGTTTGATGATGTCCTTTTACAGGACGAAACATGTTATGTAAAGTTTTTTCATTCAATTACCCAACATTGTTCTGATCTATAGAAATTTAGACATCATGTTTTCCCATGTTGTTCTTTATATATGGAAACTTGAATAATTTTAACCATTTTCCCCTACAAGAAATAAGAAATCCTATTTATGCTTTTGAATAGAATCTTCTCCATTAATAAATAGAAAATATGATTCCTGAATTGCAACAAAGATAATATTGGTGAAAATCATGCCCTTTTCTTCTGTTTTTGTAATGTGTTTTTACCAGACACAGAATTATATATTCTCCAAGATGAAAACTTGCCAAATTCCTGAAGCAAGAAACATTGTTGTCTAAATGACATCTTTGTAGAATTTCCATTCTGTTCTGCAATAATCAAGGACCTCATCAAAGTTCCTTTCTAACAATTCAGAAATCTATAAATTATTCTGCAAGTAATTACTCGAACAATCATGGCCGTTTTTTTCTAGATAATCAGTCGCCAAGCCTTGAATCAAAAGAGAATGTGGATGACCACAAAGAACTACAAATAAAACCAATAAGACTCTACTTTAGACATAATGATTTATTAAAGTTTTCTACTAATTTATTTTTAATTAATAACAAGCCTTTTACAGTTTGTTAATCTTTTTTTTACTGCAGACATTTTCTTCATTGTGGTATGTTTACAATGGTAATAGTAATATTAGATGCTTCCTTATAAGGAAACATTCAGAGTTCATTGATCAAGCAGTCAGAACTACTGTTAGAGCTGAGATTTATAAAATCACAAGCTAATGGCTAAGAAATCAAAAACAAAAATGGGCCATTCACTTTATTCATCAGACTTAACCCCATGACATTTTGCTACTTCCAAAATTGAAATAATATCCTGAAAAAAACACCTGAAGAAGGCCAGAGCATACAACAGCTGAAATATGATAAATATTGCAACAAAGATGAGGACAATAGTTCGAATAATGTAAATAGTGTAGTCATCTCAGAAATATAGACAGATATAAATCGCAATCGCGAATCCTGTGACCTATCAGATGTGGAAGGGGTAATACCTGTACTTCAGCCGCTGTAGAAGTAGTTTTTCTTGGGCAAGATAGCCTGACAGAGCCCAACCCCCTCCGGGGCAGTTTTTGAATTAAGAGTTAGCTTCTCCTAGACTGGTTGACACCTGAGGCAACCCCAGCAAGCAAAATAAAGGGTTCAGTTCAACATTCCAACCACCTGAAGAAGGCTGGAGCATACAATGGCTGAAACGTGATAAATATGGCAACAAAGGTGAGGACAATAGTCCGTGCGATTTCTATATATTTCATGAAATATATCTGTCTGATGCTCTGGCACACATCCTTAGTGATGTTCTTATTCAAGGACCATACATCGTACCCCACTTTTCCACAGTGACCCAGCCAGTACTAATATAGATATGTGTGCCAGCCACCAGCTGCATCTTCTCTCATAGTGTCAGGCTCTCCTAAAAAATTGTGACTCCAACCCAATGACTCTCTTATCCTCTCTTTTAAATTATTCATGCCAATCACTCAATAAACACAAAAGGAAAGAAAAAACATCCTCCTCATGTATGCTAGATGGAAAAAAAAAATAACACTGATGAGGGGGCAAACAAGTGTTAGATCTTAGCCAAAGATCCTAAATATGTAACAGTGATTAAGTGCCCAGTGTAGGTGGGTAGCCTAATTCTGTTCCATAATCAAGATTCCATTGTCAGATCTAGTTTTAGGTCATACCCAAGACAAAGTATACATACACCCATCCCCCCCATATATATATATTTATATATATATATATATATAAACACATATGTTAAGTTTTATTTGATAAATATCATATTGCTCTGTATGTAAATATATTGAGCTCTATTCATGAATTGATCTTATTAATATTTTATATTAAAAACACCTACTTGGTTTATCCTTACCACTTACTTATTTAATATATATATATATTTATTTATTTATTTATTTATATATATATATATATATATATATATATATATATATATATATATATATATATATATATATATATATATATATATATATATATATATATATATATATATATATATATATATATATATATATATATATATATATATATATATATATATATATATATATATATATATATATATATATATATATATATATATATATATATATATATATATATATATATATATATATATATATATTGGGGGGAACTCAAGATGGATTCACATGACTATTACTACTACACACAAAAGACAATGGTTAAAAGATTTAACATAGGAAGGAAAAAAAATTAATTCCTTTAAATAATATATGGAAATAAATAAAAATGAATAAAATATATAGAATAAGACATTATTAAAAAATCCACATTATAATTAAAAACATTTGCAACTTTATCTCTCTTTAAAATATACATTTTTTCTCATTGGAACAACCATAAACCCTTTCCTTATACACACACACACACACACACATATATATATATAATCATTTCACCTCAAGCAATGTGATAATGCCAGTTACATGCAAGGTGTTACTGAAAATTTTGAGTAGAATGAGGAATGAGAACATTAAGAAGATCAGGATTGGATACATATATATATATATATATATATATATATATATATATATATATATATATATATATATATTGTAAAAATAAAATATCAATAAGAACACGGATTATATATCTTACTGTTCTTTCTTTTTATATATATATATATATATATATATATATATATATATATATAGTGCATTTAGACAGCAACAATTCTTTCAAACATGTATCATTGAATAAGATCAACAAGTCCTGGCTAACCAATTTTTTTTTATTAACTTCTTAAAAATTTCAAAATTAGTTTTCTTATATAATTAGTAAATTTCCCAAAGTTCCTTTTTTCTTTGCTAGTATTTCTAATGTTGCATTCATTTTCAATGATTTCAATTTTTGAATATTTACTGTTTTTTGTTAATTGTTAATAATACAAATATGTAACAATGGCAGGTAGCCTAATTCTGTCCTTAGTTGAGACTTGATTGTCAGATATAGTTTAAGGTCATACCCAAGACCTAATATAGAGTGAAATGATAATATATATATATATATATATATATATATATATATTTTATCATTTCACTCCAGGCAAAGTGCTATTACCAGGAACATGCAAGGAGTTACTGAGAAAATTTAGAGAAGAAAGCAACATTAAAATGACCAGTATTGAATTAGTAGCATGCACTAGTTGGGCTTCGCAGAGAGTGTGACATGCCTCAGGCATCTATATCAGGAGGGCATCCAATCAGAATGAAATAAAAATTTAATTTATATTTAATTTGAATAAGGTATTACATATGTTTTTTACATATTTAAGATGTCTTCCTTTCTCTCATTTCTCAGTACTAGGCTCTAAAGTTCCTACTTGAATCTTAGAGTCATACAATCAAGAAGTTGGCCCTGGGCATCACCAAACCTTTGCACATCCCTGGATTGAGTATATATATATATATATATATATATATATTCAAACACATATTGTTAAATATAAGACAACAAATGTCTATTATGTTTGATCATGAGCCATTTTAAACAGTATGGTTGATTTAATTTCTGGAGAAAATAAAAACAAAAATTGTCCGACATTTGATTATTTTTTATTATAATGTTTCTTGATCTAATATATATATATATATATATATATATATATTTTAGGATATTAAAACATGTTAAAACTTGCTACATAATGACAATTATGTTTCAACACTACAAATGTGTCTCCTCGGGTGATAGGCAGAAAGAATTTGTTCAGACATGTTTGCTTGATTAATATCAACAAGTTCTGACTATCCAATTTTTATTAAAAATTAGTCGTTTTATATATTGTTTTATATAATTGATAAATTTACCAAATTTTTTCCCCTCCCCGCCAGTACTTTCAAATGTTTCCCTCCTTTACAAAGATTTCAATTTTTACATGTTTACGTAAATGTCTTTTGTTAACTCAGGTGTTACAATTACATAAAAACTGTTACATTTTTTTTTTTTTTTTAAGCATTGTGCCCCAAGCAAGGCATGAAGCCACTAGGATGCAGGGGGTTGCGGAAGATTTGGAGCGAGAGCAGATAAGAGTGATAGGAGAAAGGAAGAGGAGAAGGATAGTGGGTAGATCAAGGTAATTGGAGATGTCGATTGACATTACATTTAAATAGTTGGAGATTATAGCTTTCAGGGAAACAGTAACTGGGGAGGGTGTTCCACTGGCGAGAGGTGCGAGGTATGAAGTTATTAGAGTAGAAGAGACGGCTACATTTGAAGGTTTCAACGGTGTAAGGGTGAGAGCGGGATTCCAGCCTCGTAGGGCGCTTGAATTCATGGAGTCTGGGAACCAGAGAGAGCAGCTCAACAGAGCAGTTACCATGGAAGTATTTGTAGAAAAGACAGAGAGAGGTGACGGCGCGTCTGTGAGAGAGTGACTGCAAACAAGACGCTAGATCAGGGCCAATTATATTACATATCCTTCTCTGGATCTTGTCAAGAACTCCGAGGTAAGCAGAAGGTGCTCCAGCCCATATATGGCAGCAATACTCCATGCAAGGGCGAATGGTTGTTTTGTATATTTGAAGTATCGATT